TTAAGTAACAATAAATCGGTTAAAAATCTTGAGTTCAATAAAACGGGAAATGGTTTCATTAATTGTCTGTTTTACTTATTAATATTAAGTTAACACGATTCCTTACGGATGAGAGATTTGAATAAGAAATTCGATCAAAATGTCAATAATAATTTCTAAACATTTTTGGAGCTAACCATTTCACTAGAAATAATTTTATTTAAGATGTAATTAGTTCATAACATTATTCGTATTTTTATTTTTATTTTTTTTCAATTTCTTTTAAATTTGTCATTGATTAGACTAGATACTTAATATACCTATATATACAAACAGATATTCACCAATGAAGTGAGCATATTTCTGTTCATGGTTTTCGCCTTTTTGCTGTTTGCCATGCCCACTAGAAGGTGGCCATTTCTGGCAGCACACTTCTGCCTCGACTGCTTCTGTTTGAATTTGGGGGCGTCTGCAGCCTGGCCGGAAGTACTTAGATTGACGACACTGATACGAACGCTAATGGTTTCCTGCAGTAATTGGCTATTTCAACCGCGAACATGGCTCTAACGGCCAATGATAATGATGCGGTGCGATGTCGTCGTCGTCGTCGTCGTTGTGGGGCATGAGCCCCAAACAAATGGCACTTGTTGTTGCTGTTATTGTCAATATTGAAATGCTTGAGGTAGCTGCTGAAGTGAATGCAAATATAACGGAAATGGACTTTTTTTTTTGGTTTAGGGAAATTAAAGAAACCTCAAGCCCTGAATTCGCATTTAAATGGGATTTCAGAGCACGTACGTGGAAAATAGATAGTAAATTCTATAATTATTTCATTTCCGTTTTCATATTTTCATTAAGAATTCATCGACTGTCAGGTTTTATTGTCTACTCTCTGTTCCTTGTGTTCTCGCCGATTTTCGATTATTTGATCAAATGCATATTTTACGGCAAGAAATTATCCATCATAGACCATATAAGCATATTTATAAACCTATTTATTACGTATCATTATAGAGAGTAAGAGTTCAAATCGATGCCCAGGCCTCTCAGACAGCAAACCGCATTCTGGTTCAAAAAACCGGATTCTTGCTGTTAAGATTATCATTATAATAATCACGTTGTATTATATATATGCTGAATTGTTCTTTCCCACACATATATCTCATTATGTGTGTGTGTAACGGAAATGGAATTTTGCAGTCGTAACACACGCATACACACATACAGAGAATGAGAAGTTTCCGGTGTTGTCTCGCATTTTGTGATTTTCACTGATTAAACGACGCATACGAGACTGTCGCTCTTATAGGATTAGCATTTCACAAGCAAATGGACTGACAAAGGTTGACAGTTGACACACACACATGCATACTATACATATATATATATAAATACATGTACACAGCTGCATAGAGCTGGCAACAATAATTGAAGCATTCAGCGTTTTTTGATGCTAAATTTGAAGCATTTGACATTTACATCGAAATATTTGATGTTTATAATGATAGAACAGACACACAAACACACACATATATGCTATGCTTTTGTCGTATTTCTAGCGGAAAATACTAGATAGGAAAACATCTCGATTATGTCACATTTGAATATCAAAAAAAAAAAAAAAGAAAACTCTTTGCATTTGACTAAAATCAAGGTTACATTTGAAGTTGTTTTGCCTTTTAGATGATATTTTGTCCATATATACCCCGCCCCCGCTGCACGGTTATCTCTCTGCTCCGTTGCTGTTGTTGCAGTTTTCAAATTTCATTACAATTCTTCTTTTGTTTTGCATGCGCGTCATGTGGCGGGAGGAAATTGAATGGAAAGCCAACCCGCCACCGCCCACCCAAAGCAAAACAAATAAATGAAAAACGTTTCGGCCAGGGGCACGCGATTGAGGTCCATGACTGTGGGAGCTATGCGCCATAAAGAGACAATCGGACAGAGCCAGACACACAGTGAGTGCAGCCTCATGGACAGTAACCTGATAAATAAAGAATTTCAATTAGTGGCCAAAATTCGACTCGGCCCCAAATGCATTTTAGCCTAGAAACAATTGTTATTGTTGTTTTGTCTTTTTTTTTTTTTTAAATCGCAAAATTTTGGTATGTTTTCTTTAAGAGCTTTTGGTATGTGCGCTGAATGAATATCCCAAAAAATCTACAGGGAAGGATGTATGCCAAGCTTTTAAAGCTCTTACTGTCACAGCTTTCAGCATATAAAAGCATAAAAATAACGGTTTTCTTTGGGACATTTCAAAGCTGCGCAATATCCGTGGGAAAGCTCTGATATATGTGTGTATAAAACTAAGCCAAGACAAAAGCTTGGTATATGAGGCCTTTAAGCTTTTGCAAACTGTATAACAGTCATATTTCAATGTAACGGAGTTCTGAAAAGCAAAAAGTGAAGACTATGGCTAAGACTCAGAACAGTTCTTGTGGCATTCGTAATACATTCATAAATATATGAAACCAATATATTTATGGTTATCACCTATATTGCTTCAATTACAGTTACAGTTAGTCAACCTATGCATAAGGATTGCAGTAGAAGTGTTGCTTCACGTGAATTTATATAAAACTCTTATATAACAGACATCGGAAATCATTTTTTTTTTTATATATATTTTGTACGATTATTAATATTTTTATATATCAAATTGTATACACATACCAAGAGCATGGGCTTTACCTACAAAGCATAAAATATAGATTTCTTAAAATTTAGTTATATTAGCTACTTTGTTAATTAATTTAATTAAATATATCATACAACGCCCATTTAAAATCTTCTGAAAATATAATACACATATTTGTTTTAGAGTATTTATAAATTCTTCTATGTTATGTCTTTGAGTCCTGAGCTAAATAAAGAGAGCTTAATGAATCCTTGTATTTCAGATTTGTTAATCAGATAAGATTTGTGTTAAATTTTTAGAAAGTCTAAGGTATATATATTTTTGGGGTATATTTTTGATGCATGTATATACATATATATTTTTTTTCACACTCTAGCTTCTTCTTCTTGTTTTGCTGTGGTTTGTCTTGCAGTTCAACTGTTCCCCGTTTTGTTTTTATAAAATTAAAAAGTTTTCCGCTGCCTGCTGCGCTGTAATCTTTATCGACTTTAACCGGGGTTGCCGGGCAGCCACGATGAAGGAAAGGTGGGGGCAGGGGCATGGGGTTATTCAGCGGACATCGACGTGTTTTACCAGCAACAATTGCTTGTTGATTTGGCTGTCGCGCCCAGCGCGTCTTGGACTAAAGTTTCTGGTTTTTCTTCTATTCTTTTTTTTTTTTTTTTTTTGGCACAGACTCGAAAACCGTCCAGACAGCCTGTTGGCCTGCCAAAGACAATTTACGACAGCACGAAGAACATCTACAAATTATCGAGTGACAAAAAAAACTAAAAATGAGGCAACAGAAGTAGAAACGATTGAAATTGCAGATAGAAAACGCTGCAATTTTGGTCGAAAAAAAAAAAACAGAAAAGTTTTCTGTGGTCACTTCGTTCGCATTGATAAGAAATAATTTATGTGCGAACAGGTGAACTGCGCTGACGACAAATTGAATGAGACCCAGCGGCTTAAAGCTCAGCCAGTTATTCAAAACCTGATTGCAACAATAAATATGATGGAATCAGTACCTGAGCTGAAGATGGGGCAAAAATGAGAAAGAAGCTTAAGCTTTAACTAAATATATAAAGAAGCAAGCGGATATCAATATATACAAAATTTATAATTCTTATTTCAGATCAGCTTACAGTCTCTATATATGATGATATGAGAATTAATTTCATTCCTATTATATTATTTGTTGTTATCCTATTTGACATTCTCTATCGCTTTAGAAAAAGGGAAAAGTCAGCTATCTAAGCTCTATACATGATATATGACTTAAGGGCAGTTGGACCACAAAGTCGACTGTGACTGACAGTTCTTTCACTCGCCCTCGTACTCCCGACGAGTGACCGTCTAGCCTTGTATAGGACATGTTTACGTGTCTGTGTGCTGTACATGAGAGACACAAGGTTGTGCCTCCCACTCGACAGCTGAAAGTCGCAATGACATTTCAAATTTACTGACTATGACAAAGTGAGTTAAATGCATTTTGAGAAAATGCACAAAGAATTGAAAAGAAACCCTATGAAACATCTTCAATCAAGAGCGTAAACCGAAGTGTATATAATATATAGCTACCAAATCAAAGCTGAGCTATAATATAGATATATATACATATGTACAAAGATTTAAAGATTATTTAGTATAGCATATTTTCAGTCAGTTCTTTTCTAGTTGTTTTTTCCAGTATGGTATATTATGTATAATTGAGATATATTATTTGTTACTTCATTCGCACTCTTCCATCATGCATAGTCTCATTATTATTATTATTATATATTATATATAATAAAATTTTGCTTACCAAATTCCATTCATAGTACTCTAATATACAATATCATATAGTTGCCGTAGTTACTCTCACTTTTATCTCATATACCTATTGCAATCAAGACTTATCATGGATGTATTAATTTGTTACACCTCGATACACTTCGATATTTAGGTCTATACCATCGATGATACTGTAGACAACAAAAACCATCATTTAAACGAGTTTGCATAGTTTGTCCAGCATATATAAACTTGAACTTCATTAAAGTGCTAATCACATTTACATTGGAGCCCGTAGACTAATTTTAATACTTGTTTGTTTAATAAATATGCATGATTCGAGTTCATTTTGGCGATATGTTATTTGGTATTTTCGTCTCAACTTTTGTTATATCGCCAATAAACTAGTTTTATTTATTGTTGTTATTTTTTCTTCTTTACCAAACTAAGCAGTCAAACTATTCAATAGAAATAGTTTTAGTAGAAATAAAAAACAAGTTATTTCTCTGAGCGGTTCTTCATTAATAATTGTTGACCTTGAAATCGCCCAGAGCAGATTTCGGAAGCAACAGCCTTTGCGAAATGCAAATATATTTGATCAATTTCATATAAATACGGCGCCGATGAGCAGATGTTAGCATAGTTACCTTTGATATCTCAAACGCGCTACAACCTCAACTAAAAATGAAATTCCTGATTGCTTTCGTCGCTCTCTTCGCCGTTGTGGCACACCTTAATGCTGCACCCCTCAGTGCACAACAGCAGGCAGACGTACAGATTTTGAGGTTGGATTCGGATGTTGGACCCGAAAACTTCAACTACGCGTAAGTGTTCATACATACCATACCTTAAGTTATTTACTAATCCTTTTTATTTCCTTTCTACAGTTTTGAGACATCCGATGGTACTGCAGCCCAAGCTCAGGGCCAGCTGAATAATGTTGGAACCGAGAATGAGGCTATTTCTGTTAAGGGCTCGTACTCGTTTGTCGGCGATGATGGTGTTCAATACACTGTTCAATACATTGCCGATGAGAACGGATTCCAGCCACAAGGCGCTCACTTGCCCGTCGCACCTGTTGCCTAAGATGCGTTTCCTTAAAACCTAAATAAATTAAATTTAATAAATGTTTTTTAAAAACTTGACCTGCTTATAATTTTGAACTCCCTACAGATTGCCTGGTGCACATAGACATAGTGCTATAGCTGACATTGGCTTGAAAGCTACAATCATTATTATTAAAACACAGCTGAAGGTAGATTCTCTAAGCACTTTCACATAAATAACGGTTCAGTTAGCTTTTACTTTCGATATCTTAAACGAGAAACAGCTACATCTGAACATATCGTAGTAGAGTCCATTATGGAGTTATATTGAATAACTTAATACAATCTACACCGACATATGTATTTATTAATACCTACTAGTAAACAAAAATTCTTTTTATTCATTTTTTTTTCAAAATTTCGCTAATTGGAAAAGACGACAATTTTTTTTTAAATTTATAATTAAAAAAGTGTCCCATATAAATAAAAAAAATAAAAATAAAATAATTAAGTAAATATTAAAAAAGAAAAAAAAAATAGTAATCACATATGCCATAAAAATAGATTTGATATAATTAAATCGGATAAAAAATATTGAATAAAAATTAATTTAAAATATAATTTAATATATTGAAATAAAAATAAAAATAAGAAAGAAATACACGCAAATGAATATTTATTTTATGTTTAATATTTTTACATCGATTTATTATCGAACCTCTAATCAGATGATAATTTTGTACAAAAATAGAAATTTTAAATAAAGCAAAAATTTTTTACGAAAATTACAATAATCTAAAAAATTGCTTGATTTCGTTTCGATGATAACAAAATTGAAACCACTAATTAAAAACAAAGAAAAAAATGTTAAGCTGAACAAATATATATTTGAAGAAGATGACAGAGTAGTCAAACAGCTATTGGTATAGCCATAACCTTGGTCAGTCTAGATTTGGGACCAGACTTGAGTCTGGTCAAGATCACGCAGAGTGTGCCGGTTGTCAACCGATTGCTTATCTCTAAGCTGAAAGTGATAGTGGACACAAGTACATATATATATATATTATATATACATAAGCATATGCAGACATGAGGCGTGAGGTGTAAAGTTCCAGCGATAATGGTAAAACATGTTTTAAACACCAATAATAGTTGCTAATTGATGCAAAAACAAAGAAATCGTCTGAGTGCAAGAGAGATAGAATCAGATCTGAGCTGCACTTTAAATAAATTTATAGTCATCAAAAATCGCCGCAAATAATTCACATTATTTATAAAAATATCTATAATATATGCACAGATTATCTTCATGTGTATTTTAGTTTATTTGTCTGCACGCCTTCGCCTTGTGAAGTCCATAAAATCTTATAACAAGTTTTAAACTATTCATTAACATTAAAGCATTTTTGCTTTCAATATTAAACTATAAAACTAGTTTGGTCTACTGCAAAGAGTTTTAAAACTTTGATATAAATACGGCTCCGATGAGCAGACGTTAGCATAGTTACCTTTGATATCTCAAACGCGCTACAACCTCAACTAAAAATGAAATTCCTGATCGCTTTCGTCGCTCTCTTCGCCGTTGTTGCGCACCTTAATGCTGCACCTGTTCAGGAGGCACAGATTTTGAGGTCGGAGTCGGATGTTGGACCCGAAAACTTCAATTATGCGTAAGTGTTCATCAATACCATAGTTGATATTATTTACTAATCCTTTTTATTTCCTTTCTGCAGTTTTGAGACATCCGATGGTACTGCAGCCCAAGCTCAGGGCCAGCTGAATAATGTTGGAACCGAGAATGAGGCTATTTCTGTTAAGGGTTCGTTCACGTTTGTCGGCGATGATGGTGTTCAATACACTGTTAACTACATTGCCGATGAGAACGGATTCCAGCCACAAGGCGCTCATTTGCCCGTTGCCTAAGATGCGTTATTTACAGTTAACTTAAATAAATGTTTTTTTCAAAAATTTCAATGTGTTTCCTTTAAGATTTGTTCACAAAAGGATTTCCAAACTTTTTCAATTTGCATGAATCTGAGGAATTTGAAAAATGCAAGTGTTTAATCCAGCTAAAACTTAAAATTTAAGTGAATTAATATTTGACACAGCAGCGAAGCACACCCAGACTCATTCGTAGAAATTTAAAAAGGAAAACTTGAAATATGTATTAAAAGTACAAAATGTGGTCACAGCTTAAGAGCTGCACAAACTATCGCTTGAATAGTACACATATAGTAAATATATTTTTATATGTATATACTATATATATATACATATATAAATATACTATACTGCATGTATAATGTACACATCTGAAAAACGAAATGCTGTAAGTGTTATTTATGCGTCTTTACACACACACACATACACACACACACACTCACTCATACACACGCACATACGGACAATGTATGCTGTGTACAAGTAACAGGAAAATTGGTGAAAATGTGTAATGTTGACCCAACGCCATTTTTGGTTGAGAGGCGAAGCTTAATGGGAGAGCAAGGCAGCGGGCCAGTGTGAGTGAGATAGGTAGATGGACTGGCTCGCTGCTGTTTGGATGGCTGCCAGGCCGCTTGACGCTTTTCATTTTTCTGGTTTTGGGCTAAAATACCAAATTACGGCATAAATAATGCATAGATAACGAAATTTATTACATTTCATGCATCAGCCCAGTCTACACACAGAAAGAGGGCTGAGTAGGAAAGAGAGAGAGAGAGAGAGAGACAGAGAGAGAGAGAGAGTCAGTCCGAGTCATGGCCAACTAGCCAAAGCTACACCCACCCAACCACAAAGGGACACACCGCCTGCTGCACAGGCGGCAAAATGTTTAACGGATGCCGTTCTGTCGCCTTCTAATTTATGGCACATATAAGTTGCTCTGATTAGCCACTGCCGACCAATTTTTATCTATGCCCAACACGTATACGTCCTGTGGCGGAGCATAGGTGCGAGCATTATAAATCGTCTTTTTAAATATTCCAAGCATTATTGCTGCAAGTTATTTTCAATGCCAATAACTCAACTAGAATGAGAAATTAAGTAAACATTTACAAGAAAATTAAGATTCAAGATTTAACCAAACACAATATTCTAGGGATTGAACGCATCATGGATATTAAGCTGAAAACTAATTTTTTGTATTTAATTTGCTATATATTTAGGGGATATCAAAAGTCTATATAGTCAAGTTTTAGGACAGTTTAAATAGCCAATAGTTTCTGTCCTTTAAGCTGTGCTCCATTTCTATAGATCAATTTAAAATATTACTTTCCAGCTGGTTAACATGAGCTGAATATTTTATGCAAGAAAGCTTTAACTTAACCAAATGCATAAAGTCAATTTCTTCCTCTCTTTCTCTCTCGCTCTATCTCTCTCACTCCCTATGTGCTGCTGATACTGCTGGGATATAGCCAGTCAGAAGTGTTATGGTCTGCGCTATCGCTTCACTTGCTGTCGATGCGATTCATAATTGCATTTGCATATTATTTTCCGTTATTGCAAATGTCGCCCTGTTTGACATGACTTCAGGCGGATCTGCCAGGGCAAGGGGAACTAAAAAGTTGCTAACGCTATTTTGGTTACTTTTAGCATCCGCTGGCAGTGGCGCTGCCGCTGCTGCTGCTGCTGCCACTGCTACTGCTGCTTCTGCTTCATGTGATGTTTATTAAATGGCGCACGCTTGCGGCAGTAACAAAAAAAAAGTAAAGAAACAGAATAATGCAAAATAAACAAAAAAAAAAAAAAAAAAAAAATAAATAAATAAGAGCAAAATAACGCAAGCTAAAGAGTTAAGCGCAACTGATAAAAAATTATACGAAACAATTTGCATATAAATTAGGACTCACCGAGGTGCCAAGTTATGTGTGAAACTGCAAAGTGTTATGAGAATATATGGGGATCAACCTCAACAGGCTTCCATCGTAATGCAAAATAAACATATGTATATGTAAGGTTAGCATATCAAAATTTGTATGTATATAGATATGTAAAGCTATATTTCCTGATCGAAATTTACTATATATATAATGAATATTTCTAATATTTTTTTTAGTTATATAATATCTACATTACTTTTAGCAGAAAGTGTAAAGTATGTGCATATATTGCTTGCCCTATACAATGCCTACAATCAGCAAAATACTTGGAATAGCAGCTCAGCACAGAATTCGGGCGTATCTCTTAATCGGGCACACCCTATTAGAGCACATTTGCCACATTATTTATCACTCACATATAATATAATTTCCCTAAAATATGCCCTAACACTACCTTAACAAATTAACAGTCTTCATTTTAACAATCATCACGCTCGCTCGATTCAAAATTGTCAAGCTCAACTATCAATTGGAGAGGCCGGCTTCAACGAAATGTAAAAAGCAAACAAACAAAAAACAAATAGTATGTCAAGTATCCAAAATGATTTTGGCAAGCATTTTATGACTTGGCTCGTATCGAACGTTGACTGCAGTACTAAAGCTCGTAAAAAATCAAATGGGGGTGGCGTTGGCAGCAACAGTTAAGCATAAAAGCCCGTCTCGTAATATCCTGGCACAATTGTCAGTTTCACTCATTGCTTTATTGTTACAGCCATATCCTTCGATCCGAGTCAGGTAAACAATGCTAATGCATGCTTTGACTTCGACTTCCAATTTGACTGTGACAAGATGCCAGGCCGCTGGCGGAGCTGCTGGAGCGGGAGTTGCACTCAAATCTGGCTGAGTGTATTCGGTTTGGACTTATGGGGCTTTTGGCGCCGGGCTTGGATTATTTCTAGGATAAATGTTGCACATGTCTCCCATTTGGCTGAGGGTGTTCGCAGCAATCGAATCTAAAATGAATTTACTTTCCCTGATGTTGATGTTGTGTGCGGGACTTTTGTTTATTGGCTTTTGGCTCTTACTACGCCACTTTCATCTCTTTGCGCTTCGTGCTCTGCGTGTGTCGATTTCAAGGATTTGCGAGTGAGCTTAAGACAAATGCAAATATTTCCAGAATGGGGGCTGCGACCGGATATGCCTGTCTCTTATGATGAATGAATGTGTGCGCTTCCTCTCCTCGATTTGTTGCCGCTGATAAACTCGATTTGTAGCAGAGTGCTTGAACTCCAACCTCATATTATGCCTTTTACAGTCAAAGTTTCTCTCTGGTGAGTGTTCGGCAGGCCAAGTTGTAAACGGATTTCATCTCACTTTACAACACTGCAACTTAAATGCACTTTTCAATTTAATGCACCGCGTATAGTCTTTGTGGAACCATTTCAGTTTTGATGTTCGCTGGAATCGAGCTAAGATCTTGTCATGACATATACATAAGTCTATCTCTCACTTCCATCACCTATCGCATTTGCATGTTACACATAAAATTATGAATTACAATTTATCACTCAACTGTGTCGCTGTATTTTGAGTGCTTATAAGATTTCCACCTGCTACCGGAATCGGGCGTGGCATATGCTGCTGCTAAGGAAATTGGCTAGAGCTGGGCGGCTACTTAGTAATCAATAACAAATTATTGCACGACTAGAAATTACGCTGTGATTAAATCTATTTATAAGGAACATAAGTTAGTGCCTCTTCATATGATTAAATCTATATATAAAGAAACAGATGAAGTTTATTCTTCTGTATACTAACCATACATCTTAATTTTACCAAACTCAACTTTATCATTACATCAAAATTTTTTGCTACGTTTAGCATACCTTTTTGCAGCATTTGTTAGAGGGTATATGCAGTGCACTTGAGGAAATTAAAAATTGCATTCAAATGCCATGCACGAGCGTAAAAATTAATATCCGCTTTCTTTTCCATTGTTGGACGGGCTTAAGGGGCAGTAGGAGGGTCAAAGCTCTTAAGGTGACAATCTGAGACAATTCTTTGTTGTTGTTGTTCAAATGTACGTAACTGATAGACGGCAAGATGATGGTCTTCATAAGGTACACAAAGTTTTGCTGAGAATGTAATTCGCCTAAAGTTTGAATATGCTAATATAATATTTGTTATCTATAATATCTGAAAAAAGAAATCCGCTTAGGTATATTAATTATGATTATTAGATACCAGTTCGGTTAGCAATCAAAACCGAAATCAAGACTCAGAATCAATATTTAGTTAAAAATCAATATAATTTGCATTTAACGAACTGTTAATTGATTGAAGTGTGCAGCTTTTTTAATGGAATTTGAAATGTCCTTCAAAGCGATTTATGAACAATGTCTTCGCAATAATAATTAATTTTAATGCAATCAAAGCATTTCAATATAATATATCTTACATACCAGTTTAATATTAGATGATAATTGACCACAAAATGTGCAAATATTATATAATAGTCTAAAGCTACACTAAATAAAGCTAACAAATGAAGCTAGTTTTAGCATAATATCAAACTGGTTTATTTATTTAATTTTTTAATTTCATTTTATTTATTTATTTTTTTCCTATTTTATTGTATGTCTTTCATAGATCAATTTAAGTCTCTATGAATGTATGTATGAATTTTGCATTGTTTGTATATATTATGTTAATGAAATTCATATGGCTTGTGATGTAAGCAACAGAAAACGAGTTTCATTAATTAATTCACTTTAAATTAATGACAAGTTCAGTTCACAAATTCGTTCGATGTTCTAAGTGGGCGAATAGTGCGTATAGAAAGCGAATGTAAAACTAACTTTAAAATGGTCTTTGATGAAGCTTTACGTAATAAAACTAGTTTGATTCACCACAAATTCGTTTAATAAAATGATAAAAATAAAAAAAAATAAAAAAAATCAAAGTTTGATTAGCTGTCATTAGCTTAGTTAGCCGAGATAGCTCAACCCAACTACAACGTAAACTAAAATGAAATTTCGTGATCGCTTTCGTTGCTCCTTGCGGCTTTGGTGCCGCTTGTTACACATGAGCTCATTAACTTTAAGTAATTATTTACTTAAGAAATAAATAATTGAATACCAAGTATCTTTTTTTAATTGAAGGTTTGTCATGTCGTATAATATATAAGATAATTATATTAATTTGCCTGATATGTTAAGATAAGTTAATATTAGCATATCATTGGACAAATGATTAAAATGATGAGAGTTGGAGAAAGGGTAGAGCGATGGATTGAACATTCTTTTATATGTATTGAATGTATTGATACCATTGTGTCAATTCCCTATTCTAGCAAAGTAAAGCAAAGACTTAGAAATACAAAGAGAATCGTCAAACTTCGCTCATTGTGCTGATCAATTTGATAAATCAGAGTAACTAAAACTAACTAACTAACAAGAACAATCTAAAGACAAAAAAGGCACAAAAAATCGAACTAATTTGCTAATGATAGGATATTGTTACAGAAGTAATTAACAACGAGTTAAACTTAGATATATGCATATATTATATGTATATACTACTACTGGGTAAAGAGGGTATATAAGGTCCGAGCTCAGAGTATAATATCAAATATAACAAAGGGGTTACTGGAGTACATATAAAAAATATATTTCTCATATATTTATGTGTTTATTCTTATTATAATAATTATTAAACTCATTAAATTTACTTTGGTGCTAAGAATACGTTTATAAACTTAAAACAAGCCTAATAATATTATACTTCTGCAAAGAGACTGTTATAACAGTAATAACAGCAATGTTTATCTTTTAAGTCATCGCTCTCAAAAGTATACTGTTATAATCTATATAACATATAATCAAATGCCTGAAAGTAGGCAACAAAATTTTGTTTGCATATCAAACAATATGTGTGCATCTGTATGTATGTATGTATGCATGTTCATACATAAGTACATTTTTCGTCATATCGACAATGCTGCTGTTCATAAATAATCTAATAATAGTCGGCCGAGCTGAGCCTTAGACATAAAGCACAAACATGGCCGCAATGGCCGCTGTAAAGGATAAAAATGTGGACGCATACAAAATGGCGCACGTCGTCTCCATCCAGGCGACGAGTGGGCCAACGCAGAGTGAAACAATTAGCTGGGCTATGAAGACCATGCTGCTAATGATGGCCACATCGGTGCCCAGGCCGCGGGCCTGCTTCAGCGGAATAGTCTCGCCGTTATGAACGCGGAACTGCAAGGAAGAGAGAGAGAGAGTGAGAGAGGGAGAGGCAGCTAAGTGAATTATTACATACACAATTTTTGGCATGATAGTTGGCCACCAGTATGAAGGGCATGGTAAAGAGCGTTCCATAGAGTATGCCCGCCGAGGTGCTAAAAACCAAAACGCCCCACTTTGTTGGCCAGAGACCGAGGATCAGCATGCCAATGCCATAGTAGACCATGCCGCTGATATAAACCGCCTTAGTGCTGTGGGAATATGAAAATGATTTTAACAAAACTTGATCCGCATTCCTTTCAAACCAATACATACCCAAACCACTTCATTAGCTTTGTCACAGACATCGAGTAAATGGAGCAGGAGAAGGCATAGATGGACATGCCCCAGCAGCCGAATCGTACGCCTTCCTCGTACAGCAACAGCGGCGCCGAGTTGGGCGGCGCTGTGGGATCACCGTGGAAGACCGCCTCGCCCACAAAGTCGGTGAAGTACAGGCAATAGGTGACATGACCCATCCAACAGAAGAGATTGGTCAGCGCCAGCATGCGCATTGAGTGGGGCATTATGAAGATGCTCTTCAGATAGCCGCGCAATGAGATCGGTGCCGCATCGTCCACTTGCAACTCCAAGTCCTGCGGCCTCTTCACCTTATCGCTGATCGCTGGCAAACGGCTGTTCTGATAGCTGGCGATGGGCTCAACAGCAGCCGCCTTCATTTGCTCGTCCAACGTGGAGTTCTCTTGTATATAGTATATGGCATTGTTGTTCTTCTTCAGCTCCTTCTTGATGGCCGAACAGGAGAGGGGACGCAGCAGCTCATCGCGTTCGATCAACTCGAGCGGAATTTCACGGAAAGTTGTCACCGTTACCAAATAGCAAAGCACAAAGATAATGGTCACCAGGGTGAACACTGTGGGTATATTTCCACCCAACACGTTTCCAATGTGCGTTGTCTCCCAATCGATGCCGCCAATGGCGTAGCCAATGGTGCCACCGAAGCCCGCGAAGAGTGTAAACGTAGTCAATGCCTTTGGCTGCTCCTCGGGCACACACATGTCCAGCAAATAGGTGCGAGCCGGCGTTTGGCAGGTGTCTGCATCGAAATCCAACAGCACCATGCCCAAGATGGTTAAAATTACAGCGAATTTGTAGTTGCTAGGCGAGGCTCCGGATTCCGGCGCCGGTTCGGATGACAGCAAAGCCGCCGCCGACACAGAGCTCTCGTTGCCATAGTTTGAAGTCGAGTAATTGTAGCCGACGTCGCCCAGCCAGACGCCTAGCTCCTTGCCATACGGCACCAAAATCAGGCCAAGGAAAATGCCCAGCGACAGCAGCGTGATAATGGGTCGACGTCGACCCCAGCGCAGCTTGCAGCGATCACTGATGCTGCCCAGCAGCGGTGAAACAAAGAAACCAATCAACGGCGACAGGCCCCAGGCCATGGTCATATGCTTGTGATCGATGCCAATTTGTAGAAGAATCGGTGAAACGAAACTTGTCTCGGCCGCATACGCAAATTCGATGGCCATCGCTATGGCGGACAGGCGAAATAGTTCGAAGCGCGTCTTACGGCGAAACACATGCGAATAGTCCGCATCTTGGGCACGTGCATGACTCTCGCGTTGCTTCAGCAAATACTTAATCATCGGATTTTTGGCCGATGATAATTGAGCGGCCTGCGATGGATCGGCGGCAACACCAACCATGTTGAGGGTTTGATTCACACTGCAGCTAAAATGTAAAGTGTATATATGTCAGCTGATACATATGTGTATATATATATGTGTATGTATTGTATGTATATGTGTGTGTGTAGAAAGTTCTATGTTCTAGACATTGAGACAAACGAAACGTTTGAGCGTAAGACATTGAATCCAATTGAACGGAATGTATGTCTCGGCACGTCTAAAGAAGCAGTTGGCGAATATCTGTTATTAATTGAGTTGTGTGCGTATGCTGTAAATAATTACACTCAGAGAAAGAAGTGGTATAAATGTAATAAAAACTCTACAAGATTAAAACAAAAAAATATTATTTTGAATCTTTTGAAAAATCATAAGGACAGCAAAAAACAAGTAAGAAGGCTCCAGTCGAGACTGCTCGACTAGGAGATACCCTGAACCCTCCAAGCTGATATTCTAATCAGTCTGGACTTCTTTTATGCACACATACATACACATGCACTTATAAGCACGCGCTCTGCTGACTGCGCAGTTAGCAGCGACTGCGCTTGGGCTGCGCTGCAATGTGGGCAATATTATGAGAATTTATATGTTGAATAATTTCTTTTGTAGACATACGATCTTAATGAAACTTTCAGAGCGTAATCATATGGTTAAAATGTGTGTACATTCCAAAGCACAAGTCTCTAGTACTTGAAATGCGATTTTTACAAATTGGGGGAGAAGGGGGCGTGGTATCCAAAATCTGTAAATTACAAAATCTTTGTATCCATTAACTTTATATACAACCCAAATTTGAAGTCTCCAGGTCTAAAAGTGTTAAAATTAGGCTGAAAAAACCAAGTCGATTTTTCGATTATTCTCGATAAAAAAGTTATCGGACGAGTTATCGAAAAAATAAAGCAAACTTGTACTGCCTATGGTATACACGAGTATGCATGCCAAATTTCAGCTCTCTAGCTCTTATATCTTCTGAGATTCTTTTGCTCATACGGACGGACGGACGGACGGACGGACGGACGGACGGACGGACGGACGGACGGACGGACGGACGGACGGACAGACGGACAGGGCTATATCGACTCAGCTCGTCGTGCTGATCAAGAATATATATACTTTATGGGGTCTGCGATGATTCCTTCTGCCTGTTACATACTTTTCACAAAACCATTATACCCTGATTTCCCATTTTCAATGGGTTCAGGGTATAAAAAAAAAAATAAAAATAAATAAAAGTTAAAAAAAATATATAAATGAATTAAAAATTTTACAAAAATTTAAATAATTATATTATGATTTAATAAAATTATAATTATATTATGATTTATATAAAAAAAAATAATATTTTTTTAAATATTAAGCAATTTTTAATTATTTAATATCTCCTAATATTCTTCTCCGAGTGTAAATATTTATTCAATCGACACAAGGCTGCCAACTCTGCCCATTACGAAGCTTGCACTGCATTTGATCTAACGGTCACAAATCTCGTCGTCTACATTTAATTAAATACGTATGAAAAATGCTATAATTGATATTGAAATATAACGCTTATCGCTCAAGTCTTTATTGTACATGCAATCAGAATTGTACTTCAGTCCGAACACAGAATCACGTAAACAAAAACCAACACATAGCGATTTATGTGTAATGCGAGCGCCAAACATTGCGAACGCACAAATATACAGATTATACATATATATATATAAACTTTTCTTTTGTTATATATAATTCAAAGACTCGGCTTAGACTTTGCACAATATGATATTTTCTATAAAGTGCTTCATTGGCGGACAATATGTAGCTTAAATTTATATCTCAATTTCCCTTGTATAAGCATCACAATCTTAATGACACCAACAACAACAACAGCGGCAGTAGCAGCAGCGGCAGCGGGAACAGCTATAGCATTTTATTAATACACAATTAAATTATAACAATTATTAGAGAAGAACAAGTCAAAAGTCGCCAATCAGATACCCTCTATTATGCAGCAAAATGAATGGAAAAGAGGAAGAATATTGAACGAAAGATATTGGAAAGAATTTTTAAGAATTTAGTTTTTGAGTATTTAATGAAAAAATTACTAAATAATTTTTTTTGTAATTTTCATTAAGGTTTTAGTTTATTTTATTTTGTTTATTTATATGCATATTAAATAGTTTGAAGAATGTTTTACATTTACATATATTTAAAATTTAAATTGAATCAATGAATGAATTGAAAATTAAAAATTTTAGAAAATTGTTAATATTTTTTGTAATTTTTACTTTTTGCACATCTTAAAAAATATATACGATTTACAAACCGTACATAACTGAACTACAAATTCCTATAAACAATTTAATATTAATAATAAAAAAAATAAATTTTTAAAAAAATATATATTAAAAAAGTGTTGACAGAGTTAAGGAATAGTATAGAAAAATATTCTGGAAATGATTTGGAAAACAAAACCAATTCTTGGTAAAATATTATTAATTTTTTGTCGATTATCTTAGTCAATGAACAAAACATTTCACTTCTCTTTTAGTTTTTATTTTTACAGGGTATCGCAGTACAAAAAGCCAATTTATGAAGTGACGAAAGTTGTGTCGAACCGCCCACTGTAGCGTTTTATGACACGACACTTCATATCGATTCAAATAAGCCGCAGGTCACAAGTTTCGCCTTATCACGCAGATCTGCAGCTACGTTGTCGATGTATGTATATGTGTATAAATGCAGGTAATCGAGCTCCGTCTAGGTCGAAAATTATGTGTTTAATATATGCGGCTAACCAATTGGTGGACTAGAGTCTATGCTAATATATTGGTATTAATTAACGTCTGGTTATAGGAAGTAAATATTTTCTAGCTCAGTTGTAAAAAAAAAAGGTAAAAAACAAACTTGTTAGGTTAAGGTTTCGATCTGAAGTTAATTTACATATTGGCACACTGTTCACACGTCTATAATTTAATGATGCGTTTCAATTTGTTGCTGTTGATGCTGCTGCTACTGTTGTTGTTCTCTTTGGTAATTAAGATGATCACTTAAGAGCTCTGAGCATCATTATAATTAGTATGCCGCTGAGAATTCGATTGTCAGCGCGACAGGATGTTATAAACCCATATGAATATATTTATATGCACATTAACTGTGGGCGTCGGGAATTACCCATTTCTTTTGAAACCTAATCGTGGCTAGGCACGAATTGTGTTAAACATGCATTCAACTTACCTTTAATTAGTAGTTACCCCAATAAGGTTTTGTTCACTATTAATTTGTTTTTATATTATTATATTCGTTTTTAAATTAGCTGCCACGGGAAATTCATTCACTTGAAATGCTTAGTGTCAATAGATTTGTGGGCGTTAAAGTTTTTCTCTTGCACAGATTATTGTACATAAAATATATTCCGATTTTTTTCAGTTTTAATTGTTCTTGCTTTTGGGCTTGCTTGTGGGCGTGGCACTTTAGTAACTTCTTTATCATAACGTTGCCCATGCAATGCGATTTATCACTGGCTCACAATTATATACAGATTAATTTGTTTATACCTAAGTTCTGAAATTGAATTTTCGAGGTCTTCAGTTGTATTTCTTTTTCTTTTTTTCTAGTTGAAATTTCTATACTTTAAAAATTATTATTTGTATTTTTGTTGGTTGTTGTTAAAGAACAGACATTGCGACGCGTCGATCAATGCGACCACAACGATTTACTCTATTGGCTCGAACGCTGGGAAATCTTTGGCACGACATGAAAATTGCTTTCGCGTTGACAATTTTTGCGAATCGATATTAATATATAAAAGAATATATTTATATTATTTAGGCAGCAATGCAATAATAAAACACGCACAATTTTACATATATATTTATGTTTACATTTATATATGTATATATAGTTCGCCGTCTAAATGTATTGAGAGCGACGCTATATTTGTTCTTCTTTTTTTTTAGGTTGTTCACGATCGATTCGATCCACTAGCTGATCTCCTGTGCCCTGCAACTGCTTGACTGACACCTCAGCTGGCTAGACGCACGTATTTATACACAGCATTCAAGTTACGCACTCTCTGGCATTTTCGGAGTCTACGCTGAGCTCTTTATATACAGATTTGACGCTCAGGCTCATTTTCTCTCTCGCTCTCTATTTGTGTGAGCATCGCTAGCCTTATCGACAGGGTGACTTTCTTTTCTCTACTTCATGCTTTTGTCGGTCGTTGGGTTAGCTTAGTTGATGTGACTAAAAGCGGTTATATTAACTATGCCAGACATTTTGTTTTATATGTAATATGTAATATAGTTTGGACATATAGTTTATATGTAATATAGTTTGGCTTACATAAATATAAATTAACTTTATACTTATTATATTTATTATGTATTTTTAAACTTTAAATTTTATTTTACTTATATTTATTATGTATTTTTAAACTTTAAATTTTATTTTCTTGTTTACTTCTTATTTTCACTCTCGATTGATGGCAATATATTTACTGAATCTATAATTTTATACATAGGTGATGTGAGAACAATTCTCATTCGATTAATTAGCACATATGCAAGGGCATTTCGATATCGGCTTGCCATAATAGGCAGCTCTTAGTTGAGTGAGTTTTTTGTTTCCGGTTTGCAATGCAGTTTGGTTTAATTGCTTGTCCAAGCGATCAACAATTTAATGCCAATTGCAGTGGCCTCCTCTCTCTCTCATGAAATGAAAATGCAAGTTCTAAGTGTGTCGAAGAGTTAGCGAGCGAGTGAGCAACGCATTAACTCTTTTGCAATATAGTTCAGAGTCTTCGATCAGCGCTTTGACACACAGTTCACTCACACACACATAAATATTTATATAGACATATATACATATACGCTTCACTATTCTAGGAACATAAACTCAAACAAGTTTGGGCGCTGGAACAGGCTGAAGAGTTGTGGAAATATATAAACAACATGTTGTGTAGGTACTGAGCTAAGCCAGGCACTTTATCACTGCTTTACACTGTTCTACATGTTTGAGCAAGGAAAATTATGCTGTGCCAATTTACCTAAATGTCGAGGAAATTTCCACTCAGATCTATCTCTTTACTCTCTTTTGTTTTTGGTTTTGTTTACCTGCAAATATGCTTGTGCGCTTATCTCATGCACACGAAAGTTACGGCTGTTCAGAAGAGTTTATAAATTCTAGTAGTTTCCAATGTGAATATAACATTTATTATGCTGTCTAGTGATTGAATTCCAGAATGTAAATTGTGTCTTTGATTTGAATCTAACATATTTTCCACATAGGAAATAAAATGATTAGCTTTGAGGTATTTACTTTAATTAGAGCAGAATATTTATTAGTCAGATAAATAGAATCGTATTGATTAATTAGCTGTTGCAAATATTTCTATAAATATTACTAAAGTTGGTAATATATGTCGTCATTCCCACTCGAATAATATGTATTACAAATGCTATATTTATGGATAATGCTCATTAAAGTACTTAGCACTGTTTTTATTCCAAGCAAATTGCTAATAAAATTGACTTTAATATTATTAATTAATACCAATTATTTATTGTCAAATCAATATTCTCAGCCCATTTCAAGCTCAATAACATGTTCTATTTAGTAATAAAAAAAATGACTTTCCAGCAATTTTTAAGTCAGAAATTAATACTTAAATAGCTAATCAAATAAGATTTTAATATTCTGTGTCTGCTTAGATTCTTCCCAAATATGTATGTATATATTCCGAATCAATAAAAATGAGCATGCACCTGCTGGCTGAGCGCATGTTATCACAAAAAATTAGCACAAATTCGCGACTTTAGGCTAAAAGTGATTTAGTGAGTAAGTCAGAGAAGCATAATTATATATATTTCAGTAAATACATACATACATATATGTATACATTTGTGAAAAAAGCAATATTATGTAAAAATTTGCGGTTGGAAGACCACAGCCAATAACTGCCAAGTCATTGACTTGCCCAGACACTCTCGATCTTGTTGGGCCCATAGAGGTTAGATATATGTATATGCATATACAAATGTTTGTTTGTGGAACCTCCGAACAAGATTCAAATAAACCGGTAAGCCAGTAAAATAAAATATCGTCTTCAACACATAAAAATTGGCGACAAGGCTAGAAAAAAGTTAAAACTTAAAACGGTGACATCCTTATCGCAAAGTGCATTCAAAGTATTCATATATATATATATTCAACATATATATATATATAATAAATTGAAAAAAAAATATGTATATATATATAAGTTTTTTATATATAGTCACATATATCATCCATGATATGGGCTCAGGCCCTGTGTACTGCTTATCTAAGAACGTCAACGCCGCATCTGCTGGCAGCTTATCTCCATAAATATTTTTGCGATTTGTTAAGTTTGCATGTGTTTGCTCTGATTGTTTTTTTTTTTTTTTTTTTTTTTTTTTTGGTATATTTATTTTGCTCTGATTGTGTTTTCCAATTAGCAACAACTCACTCTTTAAATTTAACGAATTTTTATAATTTCAACATTATTTTATAGCTGCTTGCTGCTTAGAGCTGACTGCTATGAAACTGGCTACACAATTTTTAGTTTCAAATGCTTTTTAATTGAGCCCAAGAATATGCAGCAATTTTTTAGCAATTGAAAGTGGAATAAGTTGTCCACAACGAGTTCAACTTAATGAACTAGTTCAGCATTTCTAATGGATTATTCAGAATGAATTTAAATCGCTTAGAAAATATTTATTCAGAAACGATTTAAATCGTTTGTCTTCAGCTTGAACGCAAATTTTGAAATAAAAAAGTTTTTTTTGTAACTTAAAGAGTCGAATTGAACTTTCTCTGAATTATGGATTTTCCACTTCATTTCACCCATTTGACTCAAGGCTGTACTTTTCGTCAATGTCTGCACAGTTCTGGCTGTGGCGACATTTATTCGTGCTTACATATTGCACACATACTTTGCACATTGTTGTAGTTGTTGTTGTTGTTATTGCCATTGTTGTTTGCTGTCCATCCATCCAGCCAGCTTCATTTGCACAGAGTTTTGTTTGCGGCAGTTGAAAATTAATATGTCGGAACGCTCTGGCCCAGCAAATGTCTTAATTAAAACTTGTTTTTGGCATTCACTTCTAGAGCACTACGAGTAGCAGCAGTAGCAGCCGTAGGAATGTCCGACCAGTGTTTACTGTAGAACAAAAAACATATATGTGTGCTTTGGCTTGGCAGCGGCCGTTGCCTGTACTCGTTGACATTTCATTTTCAGACACGTTACGCATACGCCATGTGTGGCAGCAGAAATACCATCTATATTTAGAAATAAAGCTTATATACGCATTTGCTTGTCAAGCCCAAAAATTATATATATATTTTTATGTCCACAAATAATGAACTTAGCAATTATTAAATTTTCATCTAACGAATTTAAAGCAAAGCCTCGCATAGTTTTAACTCTTGGGTACTTATTTTCGCAATCTTTTATTATTAGATTTCTTTCTGCCATCATTAGAATCACAAAATTATATGACATTAAACTTTAAGCGTCCTCTTCAAAGAAAGGATTTATTTTTTCGCCTTGCTTTCGGAAGTATTCCCTTTATGCTCAACCTGGACCGCTGCTGTTGATAATGGCTTTGACAAGCATTTGAAATAATTTTTGAAGCGCTTGCCACATGGCGACTATTAAAGGTGCTAAAACGACCGCCGGACAATTTGATATTCGCTCCACACCCCCACTATGACTGCCAAAAAGCCGAAGACAATGGCCAATAAAAAGAAAATGTAAAAAAAATAAATAAAATAAAAAAGAGTTTGGCAAGAACAAAAACAAAAAAAGAATTCAACTCAAAGCCAAAACTCGTTTGCCGGCAGCTGCAAAATGCTTCCTTTATTGTAATCTGCATTTAAGTGGCTTTCTTTTGTGCTGACATTCTTGTACCTGAGTGTGTGTGTGTGAGTGCGTGGATATGTGTGTATGTGTGTGTGTGTTGCACTTTAGTTTGGTTCTAACGTCTCTTTTTCGCTGCAGCTTTCAATTTGCCGCACTTTTGTTGGCGACCGCTGCAATTTTTGGCTATTTGATGCTCATTGAGATGACTAAAGGAGTATATTGCTTCTATGGGAGTAAATGTAAGAAATTTGGAAGGAAATGATGCTATATTTAGCTATATAATTCTTTAGTTATTCTCTCAGTTATACATTTTCCCTCACAGAGTTTTAAAATCGTCTTCAGTTTTTCTTTCTGCCTAATTCTAGAGCATCTACTAGTCGACTACCCTCCAGTGAAACAATTTTAGTTTTTTCGTCTAACTGCGCTCGTTTGATATGTTAATATGCGTCTCTTAGATGCGATTGCCAATAGGAGTTGACGTCAACTGCCAGACAATTTGGTATTCCCTTATGCTTAAAGCTACAGATAAGCACAGCAGGCTTCGCAAGAGAGAGAGAAAAAGAGATTGAGAGAGTGAGTGACCGACAAAGAGTTCTACTGTGTATACAAGTAGTTCGAACATCCACTCGTAATGTAGCTAGAAAAGTTATTAATTGAATTGATTTTTATGATGTTTATTGTATTTCATTTGCCATTCGAGTGGGAGAGTTGGCTCATTGTTCTGGTTAATAAACTGCCGGGATGCTTAAGTGCTCGAAAAGGTCAATTCAAGCCATTGAGTGAGCGGGCCAAGTGCCTTTCGAACTGGCGATTTACTTGCAGCACTCGTTGCACTCGCAGCTCAACAAATTGATTGCTACATCGACGCGCCCGAAAAGTCGGCATGCAATTTGCCCGGCCACGGCCTGGAGCCCCGTTCCCTGGAACCTTTACCCGCTTGCATTGAAGAACTTACTGCAGTCGTATTGCATAGGGTAACAACATTTTGTTGGGCATGTTGTTACCACTAGAAGATTGTTTATATCTTTATAGACTGCTTGTTGATTTGTGTGAAGGGACTATCCCATAAAACTATACTTTTTCCCTATTTTCATTTTTAATATAAGTAACTAAATATCTTATCTCCCTCTGTGTTTAGTATAT